GTGACAGAGAAGAGTGTGAGAGTAAAGAAGAGTAAAGACACAGAGGATATCAATGAGAGGAAAGAAGAAAGTGTATTGGAAGATGGTGTTTGTTGGGTTCTGAGGGCGGTGGCGCGTTGACAACAAACACCGACAACATCTCTACTGCAAAATAGTGTTGGTGTTTTTCATGTATATTGTTGCAGTGTACATGTATACTACTGCAAAATAGTATCCACATATACACATAGTTCTCGGTATCCACATGTACACATATATGTTTTAGTGTACAATAGAGTGAAAGATGGGACACTGAAAACCTATGTACAAATAAAGGCGTTTCAATAGGTATTAGCATTTATTAATCTTCTACACACATTGAATATGTTCAAATGTTTTACGTATATAATGGATGACATTTACATGTAGCCTTATATTTGGCCATTGACGTGTACAACCTTTGACTGTACATGTGTACATTGGTTTGTAAAAATATATATGTTCACCGATTACAAAAATCCACTTCTTACAAATATCCTCAAACTCAATTTAACCCAAGAACAGATCATATTCTCAAAATCTACTAAAGCAAAGCCAAAGAAATATGAAAAAAGGCTACCATAGGTAGAGACTAAACCATTACTTCTTTAGCAGCCTGTTATGCCGTCGTTAAAGACTCTCAATCCTGGCGGTCTGTTACGCTGTCGTTAAAGATTTCCAAGAATACAAGTTAAGAATATACTCATAAAGAACACAACATATGAAGAAAAAGAGGAATATATATACCATTTCTTCGGCATCTTCTTCAAGCTGGTTAATGAAAATCCAAAACTGTGACATTAGAAATTTGTGTGGCTCTAATAATGCATCGAATCCACTCAATACAACTTTTTACCTAAAAAGAGACGACCTTTCCAAGTGAAAAACACTTCGATCAGAGTATCCCAAACAAAAATGACTTCAAAATTGCAAGAAACAGTATGCTTTATGATTTGATAAATTTTTTAAAAGATGCTTAATGACTTGAGAAATATTTGTAAACAGATCAGAATTCCACCAGATTCTTACGAGGGCCAAAACATCAACTTGGGAATATTTGTAAAAATGTTAGAAGTTTAAATTTTAGTAAAATTGAATACTCAACTGACAAACCCTATACTATGTGGCGGTGGTGGCAAAGTGACATAAACTCATCTGGAAAATCTGAATGACGTTGCGTATAGGCATAGTCATGATAAGGTTTTCTCGTTTGAGCAACCGGTTTCTCGGCTCAAGGAATAAAGCTCTGTCTTATCTTTCTTTTTCTCTGGTGGAAAATGGTTCTTTTTCACCGGTGGTGGTTTCCTCTGCATTTTTTACCACAGAGACGGAGGTCAAGATGGTAGTGGGTAACCAGTGTAACAACAAGAAGGATCGGAAGAAACACCACCATCATCACGATGAAATTAGATGAGATAAATATATTCAAAAAATGGATGATAAATGTGGATAGAGATGAAGTTGGTAGATCTCTTCATTAGTTTTGATTCAATACTGATCGTAGGATTTAATAAATATGATGAAATTGTTTTTGTACAATTATGATTTTAATAAAAAAAACTCTTTTAATAATTTAATGTCAATTTAATTGTTAGAAAAAAAAATGGTAGATTTGGAATTTCATTCTCTTATGTATGTGCAAAAGTACAACATAAGTGCTTTAGTAGCACAACTAGGATAAGACCCGCGCCTTGCGCGGGATGAAGCTATTATTTTTATTATGTTTTTAAAAATGAAACAATAGTTCGGTTTCATTCGGATTAGAGGTGTTCAATCCGGATATCGGGTTTCGGTTCGGCTCGATTTTTTGGTATTTCGATCATTAAAATATAACTACTATTCTAAATCTATATGTACTTCAGTTTGATTNCGCGCCTTGCGCGGGATGAAGCTATTATTTTTATTATGTTTTTAAAAATGAAACAATAGTTCGGTTTCATTCGGATTAGAGGTGTTCAATCCGGATATCGGGTTTCGGTTCGGCTCGATTTTTTGGTATTTCGATCATTAAAATATAACTACTATTCTAAATCTATATGTACTTCAGTTTGATTTGGTTTATATACCATTGGTTTTTAGTTTATTCAATTTTATACCAAAAAACATAATTATTTAGTTTGAGATCATATTATATATTATACAAATATATAATATGATCATATTTAGAGTCATATTGTCACAGAGTCATTTATTAAAAAATATTATATATTTAAATAAAATAATAAAAAACAAAAAAAGACTTCTATCATCTAATAAAATGATCAAATCTAGAATTAATATCAAAACACTAAATTTTGAAAATAAAAATAAAAAACAAAACAGAAGCATGAAAGAAAAGTTTTTATATTCTTCCATATTTAGTGTTCATCAAACCAATATGTCTTCGATTGAACACAACTCTGTTTGTCTAAAGATAAAAAAAAGGTTGTAAAGAATTTCAACTAATTGTTGTCCATCAAATTTATAATCTTTACTTCAATTTAGTTACTGTTAAAAAAACAAAAGATCAAAATAAGAAGTCTTAGTTGTAATAAATTGTTAGCTATTTACAAATTATAATTATATTCATGTAACAAATAGATATTCATGCGTCGTTATAAATATATACATATTTACATGTTTCAGTTTAATCGATTATAAATCAAACCATATCCAAATTCTATGGTTTTTATAAAATCACATCCATTCGGTTTGTATGGTATATACCAAAAATAACCATATTATCGATTGTTAATAGGGGGATTTGCCAAAACCAACCTAAAATTTCATTTCAACCCTAAAGGTGTACCCCTTATTGAGTCAAATGCAAAACCAACCTAAAGGGGTTATGAAGTTACTACTTAACCCTTGTGACCAAACAAAAAAACAGACAGTTATTTTACGGTTCCGTCCTTTGCAAGTCTACACATAATAGAGAGAAGTCTACACATTTGTAGACCTTCTTAGAAGTCTACTTTGTAGACGTATTCTACAGTCTACATCGTCATTTGATCTTATAATTTAATTTTAAAAATGTATAAAAATAATTTTTGGGAAGTTTTTAAATAAATCATCAATATAAAGATTAGTATGAAATATATAAATTAA